AAACTCTTCAAATTCACTGCAAGAAAATTAAAAAATTACTACATGGAAGTCATAAGTTTTTCTGATGGAACGATCTGACAACTTCAAATGACTGCACTCATAAATTAATGATTATTCCACTGATAAGGACAAATAGAGAGAACGAGAATAAATGCTTTTCCGATATGAAATGCTGTGCGCACACTAAAATTGGATGAGATGAGAAAATATATATTTAATTATGTACTGTGTAAAAATGAAATTGGATTTTGTCTTTTAAGATATTAATAAATTAGTTTGAATATTTAGTCTATACTTTAATGTAATATTGTTCAATCAGCTTTTAAGCTTATGATTTCTACTGTACTTTCTGGAATGACTCGATTTATCTAATGTTAATATATCAATAAGGAAACCAATGTTTTGTGGTGCCAAGAACGAAAATGTTTTTTATGTTCAGTTAGTTCAATATTAAAGCAATATTTCTCGTTATGGCACCAAAATTTAATAGCATAATATATTTCATGTTTAAGTTATTGCAAAGTGAAGTAAAGAGAAAGGAAAGTGTTATATTGGGGTGACAAACCAGCTTGTCTTCTAACTACTAAGTGAGAAATGCAGATGAACAAATCGCTAAATACAGTGTCGATCAGTGTAGAAGTAGAATCAAGTGATAACCACCTATAGTGAGTGAAGAATGGAAGTGTTGTTGCTGAAGGCTAAGTTATTCTTAGAAAATGTTCGCTGGAAGAGAGTGAATGTCTGCTTGGATTTGTTTCCCATCAACTTTTCAGCGTTTTAACCAGTCATTATCAATGATAAATCAGGCACTAGGAACAAAATCAGCTGCCGTCTCAAACCCGAATTCCTCCACAAATGAAGAAGGAAGCATTAATATTTGTTCACTGAATTGAAATGTTACAGAAGCTGCATTCTATTAACTTATCTTACTTCGAAAATGATAACAACGAAAACAAAATCAATGTGCTCAAAAGTTGAAATACTGTTTTGTAAACTAATTCCGAAATTAATTTTGTCTTTTAATTAATAAACATTTTGATCCCACTTATTAACGCGCATAAATCATTCTTTTGATGAAGCTATTAAAAATTCATAAAAGAACAGACAAAAATGTGAGGATGTCATAGACATACTTCTAAACACACAATTCTGATTCAGCTCATTTAATCAAATTTTCTCCAAAATAATTTAGAAAATTTTTATTGTAGCTTGAAAACTAAAGTTGTTCGCATTTAAATCACAATCTAATAAAATAAAAAGATATTTGAAGTTGTAGGATGCAAAATTCTCATTACTATTTTGTTGTTAGCCTATCGATATATTCAATAACATTTTCAGAACTTCATGTGACAAAATTATTAACAAAAATTTTACCGACTGCAGTGTAGAACACATGATACAAGAGTTTTATTTCTTGCACATTATTTATAGAACTAAAACGAGTTAATTACAATTAAATTAAAATTAAGTGCTTCAGTTCTATTTGAAGTGTACAAGTCAAAAATGTTGAAGATATAATAATATCATTGCTATGAAAATTCCGGAAAAAAATGATTCGTAGGTATGAAATGGCATGATTTTCAGCGGACCAGTGAATATGTATTGGCAGGTATAATATGCTTTTTCTAGACATGCTTTTTATATAATATGCGCTCTGCTCGAATCTAAACTTTAATTCAGTGAAAGGGATTAATATAGGAAAATAAATTATTAAATGATTGAAAGGCAAATCAGAAAACCTTGATAATAGTGTCGGATGGACTGCTTTCAGCAATTTCGCGTACTTTTTGCAATATTTTATAATACTGCAAAAAAGGTACATAAGTATTTTTTTCGACCAGAACCTCAAGAGCAAACAGTATACGTTCAATTAAATTGCGTTCATTTCGCAAATTAAGAACCTCCGGTACGATGTGTAGTATGTTACTGCTGCAGAGCCAACGAAAGCGGTCCATACTTGCTCCAGTCAAAGCATTTGCTACCGTCCAGCCAACCTCCTGAAGTTAAGCACGCATTGGTTGTTACAGAGTTGTGTAATTTTAAAAATATCATTTTACCTTACGAATGCGACAGTCATCACAATCAAATGTGTTCATGAGCAGTTCAACAATGCCATCCGTATCAAAAAGCATATCGATTTGCTCGCTTGACCCCGCAGCAATATTACTCAAAATCTCCAATATTACCAATTTTTGGTCAATTGTAATATCATTTTGGAATACTTTGATCTACAATGATTCAAACGAAAATGCTAGTATTAAAAGTTATTACTGAACTAACTTGTGGAGAATGATACTTTACACTCATTACATGTTTGACACTACAGTAAAGTTGTTAATACTCGTAAAATAAAGGAAGTGCAAGTTATTAATAGTTTTTTGAACAGTCAAGAAAAATGTATTTTATGAGGGAAATAAAACTTATATAAAAAGCTCTCGGTTAATCGCTAAAGAAATAAGGTACTTCATCAAAACCCTAACTTGAGAACACTTTTTTTCTTCGCACTTTAAAAAACCAATTTGGTTCTTTAATTTCTCATCCTTAAGACTTGCAATATAATAATCTGTAATATGTCTTCATACACAATTTGTTATTCGTTTTTTTTATATTATTGTCTTCAAAAATTATAGGAGACATACGACACGTGGTAATAAGCCAGCATCGAGAACTTTTTGTGTTTGATCGTCACTTCCCACGACAAGATTTCCGAGAGCTTGTAGTGCAGGACGTCTAGTTTCTTTGCGTTCTACAAGCTCTAATAACTGGTGCAGCAATTGTGGCGTATGAAGAACTGCATCAATCTGTATAAATTTGAAAAAAATAGATTTTTTGCAAATGAATATTCTATGCATCACATTTAAGCAAATAATCTCATGTTTAGTGAAACAACAGTCACCGTGATTTCGATTTTGTTTGGTCGAAAAAAATTCCATCTTAAGCAGTTTGATGATCTTAGGCTAGGTATAACTGTTATTGCATTATTTGTCTATGTAAAAATGATGAGCTATTGCATGAATGGAACCAGGTAGACGAGTGAAGAAATAAATGCTGATAATAAATTCAGATTAAAAACTTATTTATGATCAGTTTGCAAAGTAAAATCAAAAACGTAGATTTTAGTAGGATCTTAAAGACATCGCTCTAACCTTTTTCTAAAAAGTCACGTTAAAACACAGGGTTGAGTGAGTGTAACTCATTCAAAAGATATCCACTCAAATAATCAAAAAATATTCCTTGATGAGATTCTGTAAGATAAGATATGTTTTTACCTGAATACCACCAGCAACATCATCAGCTATACATGCTATTGCCCAAACTGCATCAATATTCAATTTTGAATCACCTAAATGCAGCACTGAGCACAGGCCTCTCAAGGCTGATTGCACAAACTAAAAATATTCCACGAAAATGATCAGTTACGTTTATTTTAATGTGTAAAAAAAAACTATAAATTATAATATTTCAGCTTTCTAAGAAGCAAATCTTGATTCTTCGATCAAATCATGATCTTAATGTTTATATTCAAATACTGTTAATTACACAACTTTCTAGTAATAATTTTATAAACTGTCATATTTAGCAATGACTTATTCTATAAAGTTTTCTCAAGGAATGCTGAAATTTCTTGTTTTTTCTGTGTTCAGTTTTTTATTTATCATCAAAATTTTTTGATAAAATTCGAAATTTTTCGCAGAAAACAGTTCTTCAAGAAGTTCTAAGTATTCTAAAGATACTGCATTTATTTTGTAAGGTTAAAAATGTATGTCATACCACTATATCAAGTGTATTAATACCAGGACGCACAATTTTTGATAAAGCCCAGACAAGATTGTGTTTCCACTTTGAATCTATAAACGCGGGACTGACTAGCATTCTGATCATTAACGGTAATGCTTTAGTTTCACGTACCTTAAGTATTGTTCATCACTAACATGTCAGCGTATATTCATATCACCACTATAAAACTGCATATAAACTAATTACACAATTTTGCGAATGCTTCTTAGTGTTAAA